GGCTGAATTAAAACTGAAGTAACTAGGGAGCTTTACTGCTTAACTCAAACACCTAGGAGTTTCTACATGTGGTTATTCTCTCTCTCTCTCTCTCTCTCTCTCTCTCTCTCTCTCTCTCTCTCTCTACCCCCCCCCTCCCCTCTCTCTCTCTGTGTTGTGTATGTGAATCCCACTCCACCTCTCCCCACTGTTTACAGTTTTTTTGGGGTTGAAAAGGAGGTGGGCGGGGGATCTTTGTTTGCTTGTTTGTTTCCATCCAACCTTTGTTTTGTTGGTAACCGATGTATGTTGGAGCCTGCCTCCTTTATTAAGGCAGCTTGGTCGCTGAAGTTCCACTTGCACGATTCTTGACGCACTATTGTTCGATGTTCTGCGGTGTATGTCTTGATTTCTTGTGGCTGTCTAGGGGTTGGTTATACAAAAATCACCCCTTCACCCCTTGACACACACTGTTAAAAAATGTGTGTTTTAATACAGCAGTGAGTGCACCGTAGACAGCCTTCATTGTGGACACGGCACATAGTTTTACAATGTCTCAATGGCTGCCGGTGCTGCGTGTATGCATAGGCTAACGGTGATTTGTCGTATAGGGCCTCACAGTCTGCATGGGCATCAACAACAACATTTTATTTTTTTTTTCAATTTAACAAATGCAGTTTTGTTTTAATGTTTTTTTTTTCTCAATATCCATAAATTTTTTGATTTGATTAATTTGGGTAAATTACCTAAGACTTATTTATTCTAACTTGTACAGGGTTAAGTTGGATACAATAATCAGCTTGATGTGCATCATCTTCCACTTTTTATTAGCTTATGTGTATATTTTACAGTTTTCTGAGACTTAACTGATGGAATTTAAACTGGTAGAGGCCTAAGGACTTTATAATTCTTAGGCCCTCCTCAAGTGTAATTGCGGCCCTGATCGTTGTTGTTGATGTACTATCTCACAACTAGATAACAGGAACGATTGTCCCTGTCTTGTGCAGGGCTGCCAATGGGATTTTTTTTTTTTTGAGAAACCCAGCTAAGCTGAATAAAAACCCAAGCAATACATAGGCAAAGAACATAAAAACAAAATTAAAAAACCCAGATTGTTAAAAAATACAAATTTTATAGTTACTAAACGAAACATTTACCTACTTTTATATTAGGATTTAAAAAAAAAAACAAGATTTCCAAATTTGAACCCAAGGCGTCACATAAAAACCCAGATCTGGGGGTAAAAACCTATCATTGGCAGCCCAGGTCTTGTGTGCCGAGCCCACCTCTCTCGCAACCTGATAATGGCTAACCAGAAGAAAACCAGCTCGTCTGAGCCGTTTCTGGTGTGATTCAGTTGCTTGTGTTTGGGGCCCTACGCGTGCGTATATATTTAACTTGGGACGAAACGTCGCAGTATAAACGGCCAGTGTCGGAAACTGAAACATCAGGTGATCTCTATCTGTTGTAGCGTATTGCTGCCTGATTTAGCCAGCATAATTTCTGCTTGTTGGTTGCACTTTAAGATAACGTAGTTAAAAGTACAGAAACAACGGCCTGTCGATGACTGGAGTCTAAGTATATATCCGTGGGAAGGTATAAAAGTCATGAACAGTTGCGGTCACATTTATACAAGTCTTGTTGAAAAGTCCGTGGCTCGGGCTATATAGACTAGTCAGTCACTATAATTTGTGTGTTAGTTATTATGTCTTAAGAACTAGACCGTCATAGCCCATTTTGTCTAGACTAGACTTTTGTCATTATTCATATTCTCCGTGTCGGTTCCGGGAGCTCCATCTAGAAGAACAAGGAATCGATCCACTGCACCCTAGCAAGCATGACGTAAGAGGCGACTACTTGGGGGGGGGGGGGTGTTTCCTCCACTCTGCATGATAGGCAAGGAACAAACCATCTGCATATAAATAATCCAGTTGTGTAAAACTGGTGTGCACGTAAAGTTTAGATTTTGGAAGTGTGGACTAACAAACAGAACTTTCCTCCTGAATTTACAGAAGGTGAACGCTAAGAAGAAAAAGAAGTCAGTAGTAGTTAAAAACAACCGTAGCCTTATGACATAGAGATAGGGCTTAACTTGGGTAGAACCTACAACCTCTCGGAGAAGGCTGACCCTAGGGTTTTGGGTGAAATTTAAAGGTAGCCTTGCTTGTCATGCGGCTCCGTGGCTTAGGCGTTGTGAGTCTGACTCGTAATTCCAACGTACCGTGATCGAAACCTACTGCTGGCTGCGTGGATTTTTATATCGTGGTATGGGGTGTCGCAGGTCGACCCAGTCTAAAATGGGTACCAGGATGTATGTCGTGGGGAAGTAAAGACAGCCGGCGTAATGCTGACCACATTACCCACCTAGTGTCGAATGGGTCTGTAAAAAATATAGGTGCTCTTTCCATATGCCCGATGCGCCTAAAGGCAGGAAAAGCAATCTTAACTTTACTTTGCTTGCCATGGCTTTCACCTTCTTCGGTTCCGTCTGTCTCTGAGAGCTGGCTCAGTCTGTCTCTGAGAGCTGGCTCAGTCTGTCTCTGAGAGCTGGCTCAGTCTGTCTCTGAGAGCTGGCTCAGTCTGTCTCTGGGACCTGGCTCAGTCTGTCTCTGAGAGCTGGCTCAGTCTGTCTCTGAGAGCTGGCTCAGTCTGTCTCTGAGAGCTGGCTCAGTCTGTCTCTGAGAGCTGGCTCAGTCTGTCTCTGAGAGCTGGCTCAGTCTGTCTCGGAAAGCTAGCTCAGTCTGTCTCTGAGAGCCACTGGCTTCCAGCTCAGAATGGTGCAGAAAAGCACAGAATCTTGTCTCAGAGACGATCCTCCAGGAATTCCAGTAAATGCCACTGGTGAACCAGACAGCTCAGCTGAATATTGCTTGACCACCAGGATTAACCAGCCACAGGGATATATTTATACAAATAAATATAGTTTCAGCTCAGGGATATCCTGGTGGGGATAAAGGAATATACAGGATATCCTGAAATCTTTAGGCTATCCTGCTGAGAAGATTATAAGAACTTTGATCTGGTCAGACATTGTGCATCTGATTCTTCTGAGATAGATCCATGAACTTTGATCTGGTCAAACAAACATATTACATCTGACTGTGTTAATTTTATGATGGGCCCAAGAACATTGATGTAGCTTACATCTAAAACAGCTTACATCTTGTTCTTCCTACCTTAGAGTAGTTGCAAGAACATTGATAGCTTACATCTAGTTATGTTTACATTAGCATAGGTCCAAGAATATTGATATAGCTTACATCTTAAACAGATTTCTTGTGGTTACTCTGATATTATAATTAAAACAATCTGTCTATGTTCATATTAGGAAGATTAAGAGGGGAATGATAAACTTGTGCTTGGAGGGTTGAGGAAAAGACAGTATACATACATATAAAGGATGTTTTTTGGTACAGTCATGCCCCCTCCTACTCTCCCCTCCACTGATTATCTACAAATGAAAGTGAGACATTATGAGAGTGTTCTCAGATTGTTGGTCCTCACTGAAGGGCTGAAGGTAATTCTAAGCTTGTGTTTTGGTTGCTTGTGGTATTTTGTTCTCTTGCTTTTGTGTGCTTGTGGTAGTTTTGTTCTCTTGCTTTTGAGTGGTTGTTTTTTATTGTTCTTCAGTTGAACAATTGTGTGGGTGACTACAATGAGAAGGGTGTTTTAGATTGTTGTTTGTGTGTTATCATTGTCATGTTGGAAATGTTTGTCATGTCTTAGTTTAGTTTTGTTTGTGTTGTTGCTGTATAAGCTTTATAGTTTCAGTCCTTTTTTATATATTGATTCTCTCTCTCTCTTTCTATGTGTGTGTCTTTTTCTTTCTGTCTTTATCTCTCTGTGTTTGTGTGTGTGCTTGCATGCGTGCATGTCTGTGTGTCTGTCTATCTGTCTTCTGCGTTCATCTGAAGATGTAATTGTGTTGTGCCCATTTACAACATTGCTGCGATATTTGCACCTCTCTCTGTGTGTATGTGTCTGTTGGTGTTACATTCAATGCATATCCTTATTTATTTCCTTGCTGCAGATGGAAAATGTCTGTAGTGTAATTTGTCTTGTTTAAAGTGTATTGATTCCCTGACAGGCTAACCGGGGCACCACATGCCTGCAGAAGTCAGATAAGTCAACACAAATATTGCTGCCATTCGGTAAAAAGACACAACGCATTAATGTCCCTGGATGTAAGAAGAAGACTATATAGGTTCATTGTTTCTCATATCTTTGTTCTTCTACCTGTAGGTTCCCTGGATAACAGGAAGTTGAAGAGCCACCGCCATTTTTGCATTTAATCATATGCCATTGTTTTTCTAACTAGGCTTTTAGAATGGACACACAGTGGTCACATATGTTATGATGATATGAAGCCCATCATGTATGTTATTTTTTTTTTACTGATTATGTTGCAGGAGTCCGACAGTGAGGTGGATGACAAGATGGGCAACTCTCAGAGCAAGAAGGCAACACCGTCAGTTTACTACGCCCCTGGATATGGGGTAACCCTTGGGACCCGGCCCTCATCTATAGATGTGGACAAAGATGACCTAACCCTGGACAAGGGAGTCCGACTGCGGCCGAGAAAACTTTCCCAGCCACGCATGAAGTCTCCATCCCCAGCCTCTGACAAAGATTCTGCAATTGGAGTTGGAGGTTCTGAGATGAGCCAAAGTTTTTACAGCGAGAACAGTGTCAATCGTGACTCCTTTTACTCCACATGCACGGCTGAGAGTGGCTTTGATGACTTTGGCTTCCTGGATGACTTGAAGAACTCAAAACTGAGCAGCTCTCTCAAGGAAAACTGTAGTCCTAGTTCTTTGATTGAACGCAATCTGCAGATGTTGTACCGGGCCCATCATGGACACGATCCTGGGTTAAACAATGTGAAGTCTGGTCTGGATACATTGTCTGACTGCAGTAGTGAGAAAAGTGGTATCTTATCTAGCAGGAGCTACAGGGGTAGTTGTGATGGGGACTCTTGTAAGAATGTTAGTATTCGGACCAATGTTGATCCTTTAGTGGAGAAACTAGCTTCTGGTCATGGTGCCAGCTTGAGGACAGCCTCTAGAAGTAGTCATAATTCTCACACTAAATCTAATCTAGGTCTTCCAAATCATCGTCTTGAAGGCTGCACAGACAGCAGTAATGGATTCTTGACTTCCCTTTCAGATATAGACCCACTTGTATCGTCTCCAAGGAGGGTATCCAATGAATCTTCACCTCGCCACAGAAATGCTGGACACAGAGGGCGAGGGAACTCACCCTTGCGTGCAATCCAGCATCAGCAGCTGCACAACAGACACACTGACTGGTCCTATGGGGAAGACCCCAGTATGGAATTTGATCCATCTCTGGAAGTGTCAGAGTCAATACGTAGCTTCAACTCTAGCGCTGAAGAAATTGACTGGGACTGTGAGGAGGATAACCGAGACCGGATGTCTTCTGTGCCGCAGTTCCAGCATTCACTCTCAGACCTACAGTTCAAGCAGTCATTGCTGCAGCGAATACACGAATGGTCCACTTTTGCTGAGGAATATAACAAATCTAGGTCACCGACTCCTGACTGCTACCCGGTGAGATTTGTTCGCAGGAGTCGTAGCCTTGACCGCCATATCGGAGACCCATCCCTTATTCTGGTCAGCGACCCGGCAGACACTAAACCGGTAGAGATTGAACCGACGGTTGAGAGGAACCTGGAAACACTAGAATATGAGCTGCATGACATACAGGGAGAGTTTGAGTCTATCACTTCCAAGCTTCATGAGCTCATTGAGCAAGGCAAGGGGGACTCCAGCAACACTGCAGCCCCAGCGTCTTCCAAACAGCTGAACTCGCCTGTGGTGAGAGGACAGCGTGCTGCAAGTGCCCCTAGAACAATTGAAGACAAACAACTGAGGAAGATGAGAACTCAATGGGATCATGTCCCTAGTTCTGCCTGCTCCGACTCCAGCCGAAGCTCCCGGGCAAGCAGTGTGGAGTATGCCTGGGACTTGGGAGACTATAAACATAATCATTCAACCGCTGTTACTGGAGACAGACCACAAGTCAGTAGTCGATCCGAAGGGATAGATCCAGAACATCCAGCAAGTAGAGGAATGCAAGTGGATGATACTTCCAGCTACTCCTCACACGGTAAGGATATTAAATTTTAGTGAAAAAACATGTTTTTTTTGTGTGTGGTCTCTTTTAAGATTTTTGTACAAATCATTGCACCATTGCAGAATGATTTCTCATAGTAAGAGTGTTTACTTTAACCTTGTCGCTCTGAGAAAGTCTGTTTTCAGACTTTTACAGACTTTTTTATGGCATGACATCTCTTCATGCAGTGGCTAATACATCTGTAGAACAGTTTTGTTACTGTTTCAACTGCATAGTGTGTAGACGAAGTGGGTATCATTATATTTACACAGTAAAACAGTTTGAGGCGTTATTTGCACTGAAAAATAATATTGTGGGAAGGGGAAAGGGGGTCATTATGACATGATAATAAACTTAATGGGGATGTCATTTTGTTTTCTTTGGCTGTGGCAGTAAAAACCCTAGTCTCTTGTTCAAAGAAGTAGGAAACCAGTTCTTTCTTATTGCATGCATGACCTGTGTTGTTGTCTTATCGGAGATAGCTAGCATCTGATTTCACTACCCATGAGATCAGAGGGATGTGTATTGTCAGAAGTCATTGCTTTTATTTTTAGGACAAATTTCTGGGAGTAAATTTTTTTTTTTTTTTTTTTAAACTGAGCTAGGTTCAGGAGACAGATTTCCTCCGAAGTCGGAGTACATCTGCCGGAGAGGCGGGGAACGAGAACTGCAAACAAATAAGCCAGTAAAACGGATGTACACGCAAAACTCAGGTCAAGGTAAAAGCCAAAAGTCCATTTTGGACGAACAACCGCGACTTACCGCCGGAATTCACAGCCGGTGAACAAGAAGAAGAAGGAGACAGATGTATACTGTTAGGCACATGGAATGTCAGAGAAGTGTGTGCTTTGCGAAACACCCATTTAATGTACACTAGAGGACACTGTTTGGTGTGTACGCTGGATGGCATGTTGAGTGTGGTGTACACTGGAGGACGCTTTGTTGTATGTACACTGGTTGGCGTGTGGTGTGAAGTGTACACTGCAGGACACTGTGTGGTATGTATGCTGGATGGCTTGTTGTGTGGGGTGTTCACTGGAGGACAGTTTGTGGTATGAACACTGGTTTATGTGGTGTGAGGTGTATATTGGATGTCATGTTGTGTGGGGTGGACACTGGAGGACACTGTGTGGTATGTACACTGGATGGCATGTTGTGTGGGGTGTACACTGGAGGACACTGGATGGCATGTTGTGTGGGGTGGACACTGGAGGACACTGTGTGATATGTACACTGGAAGGCATGTTGTGTGGGGTGTACACTGGAGAATACTGTGTAATATGTACACTAGAATGCATGTTGTGTGGGGTGTACACTGGATGGCATGTTGTGTGTGTACACTGGAGAATACTGTGTGATATGTACACTGGCGGAAGCTGTGTGGGGTGTATACTGGAGGCATAGTGTGTTGAATGTACACTGGAAGACACTGTGGGGTGTACACTGGAGGCCCAGTGTGTTGAATGTACAAACTGTAGAATACATCGTTGAGTAAATTGTGTGAGTTGCACTGGTGATACATTTGTGTGGTGTGTACATCTGATTAATCAGCTCTGCAGCTGCCTGGCAAGCAGTTTCTGATCCTCTGCAATAAATATTGGTTTCTTGCCTGTCAGGCAGTTGTTTTCCTACTTTAAAGGAAGCGTCGCTAATTAGTCGCCTCCTTCCCAGTGAGGGTTCTGGTGTGAATTCCATGGCTCCATTGTGGGGGAGAACAAGAATAGACTGCCTCGCTAACAAACGTGTCATAAGAGTTGCTTTACTGGTGTTTCCTTCAGAGTTTGAGTGCATCTGCCTGAGAGGCAAATAACCAACAGTCTGCATACAGGTATCTCAGATCTGTAAAATGGATGTGCACAAAAAATTCACATTCTGGGACAAGACTAAAGTCCAGCAGTGGAAGAACAGAGTTTACAGCCGGTGAAAGTGAAGAAGTCACCACCTGCAGCATCCTTGTTAGGGGAGCAAGAGTACGGTTCTCTTGTTCCCCAAACTGAGCGCCTCCCCGCAGAACCCACACAGGGATGCTGGTGTATTTAAAGGCTGTACATTGCTATGTTGATGTGTGTACTTGCAGGGGCAGAAGCCATCAACATTGGCCCGCCTGTGGACATATCAGCCTATGCAGAGCAAGAGTGGAAGGGAGACACCGACAAGGCCAGGGCTATCAGAGAGGTAGGGTATCACCCATCATGTTCGGAGGGGGGTGGGGGGGGGGGGGATTGTAGGCAGTGGGTGTGTTCTCCATTGTGTAGAACAGGATTAGGTGATCAGGTTCCTCCACAACCGTCCATGGTCTTGATGGGTTGTGTTGATTTTCCTTACCATTCTGTCAGCCAGTTTTTGTTAACCTCCGTCTCTTCATCGATGACCTTTCATCTTCACTGTTTTCACAACCTTACTTCGGCCCTTTCATTTCATAATATGACCAGAAATAATGGTCTTGTCCTGCCTTTCTGATTTGGTCAATCCTTGTTGAAGAGATCTGAATATGGAAGAACACTGGCTCAAAAAGAGAATCATACCTCTGACATACTTTGGCCATATTACATTTTGCAGCAGTTTAATAACAATATGACTGGATAAAATGGTTCTTTCAAGGAGAGGCAGGGGGTCAGCCGGCACATAGGTGGACACAGGATACAAGACTCAAATGAAAATATTCAAGGAAGATGCATCGATGAAGGACCAAGTCTTTCTCATGTATCACTTAGAGCAGTCTTATGCAAAGGACCTGCTACATGGAGAACTGCCAATGGGATTCTTAGTTTTTATTTTTTATTTCAAAGACGGCACTTTCCTGTGGCTTCAAGTTTCTTTCTGATGTCTATCTTATTTCTGAACTGATACATGCTGCAGGAAATCGCGTGTTGTGGAGAGGCATGATCGCCCACGCCAGTCGGCAAGGCACCTGATGATGGTGATGATCTTTATTCTTCTTCTTGTGTGCTCAGGTTATCAGTTGTATTGCCTCCATGAACCAGCATGTCAGCAGCAAGTCTCCAAAGTGTCTCCTGGATGCCTCTTCCCTCTGGCCGTGTGTTTACTCTTGGGTTATCAGTTGTATTGCCTCCATGAACCAGCATGTCAGCAGCAAGTCTCCAAAGTGTCTCCTGGATGCCTCTTCCCTCTGGCCGTGTGTTTACTCTTGGGTTATCAGTTGTATTGCCTCCATGAACCAGCATGTCAGCAGCAAGTCTCCAAAGTGTCTCCTGGATGCCTCTTCCCTCTGGCCGTGTGTTTACTCTTGGGTTATCAGTTGTATTGCCTCCATGAACCAGCATGTCAGCAGCAAGTCTCCAAAGTGTCTCCTGGATGCCTCTTCCCTCTGGCCGTGTGTTTACTCTTGGGTTATCAGTTGTACCATCTTGAGAAATAAACTTGAACGCTTTATTGTCTAGGCATAAAAACTCAACTTTGTGAATTAGAAAGAGCAGTAAATGGAAAGTTACTTTCTTGAGAAAAGCCATGGTTGACCAACAAGATGGTAGACACAGGAGAGTAAAAATACCGAGAGTGTTTAAATACATACTGCAGTCTGGTCTGGTAGTCTTAGTTTCAGCTTCATAGCAAACGGGTCACGCCATCTTTGCTCCGCTCTTGTGTCAACGGAAATCACACAGAATGTTTATCACAGTTTCTTGTGGAAAGATTGACAGACTGCTGTCTCAGCATATCTAGCATACACATGCATTAAAGCATACGGTAGCCATCCGAAGTGCTAACACAAACAGTCCGACATTAGAAATGCAGTTCATCATTGATGGTAGCTGAAGTCACCAACAGATCAGCAGTTGCTCACGCGATCTTTTTTATCACATACGGGCATCATCAACATGGCGACGACAGGCATCGTGCCATTTTCTGAATCTACATTTCACACCACCACGTTGGTCACAGTAAAAAAAAAATTCTAAATGAAATCCGCAGCTCACAGTGTCACGCCATGCATTCAACTCAGAAACTAGGCGACAAAACTATATCCAGTCTGCAAATGGAGCAAAAATGCATCGGCCACCGCCCGGCAGATGCAAACAATTTGCCTCGGCTCCAAACAGTGCCCCTGCCTAGCCTCCATTTTGACAGAGGGGAAGCTGGGCAAGGATCAGAGGACTTATTACACAATGATGGTAAATTGTTGTAATTTCAGTAAGTGCATACATTAATGTCATCATTGACGGTTGACTGTAGTATAGGTCCCAAGCCCTCTCTGTCTTCACACCTGAAGTGGGGATACCTGGATATTTATAACACCATTCACAAACTTTACTTCTTCTGGGTTTGCGCTTGTGTTGTGGTTTACAGCTAGGCTGTGTGTAATATCTACATCTCTTGACCCAACCCATCTGATTTCATCAAATCCGTAATTAGTCTCATTTTAAGACATGCTTGTTTAGGAACGGTGGGTCTGTTACCCCCACCCACCAATACATGGGACCCTGGGACACATGCTGCCCATACGAGTTCCGGGGGCCTATTTGGGGGGGGGGGGGGGTATAGACCCACTGATCTCCTAACAAGCATGACTTAAAAGGCAACTGATTAGTGAAGTCGGCAAAATAAGGAATCTGATCTGCACACAAAATTGTAGTTCTCAAACAAGACTATAAAGTCCAGAAGTGGGTGAACTGTCAGAATGAACTTACCGCTGGAGTTTACCTTCGGGGAATGGGAAGAAGGAGAAAAAGAAGAAAACATTCTGGAAATAGACCATACAAGTTATCAACTTTAAATCAGCTTGCTATATTTGATCACAAATTTACTTACAGTTGCCTTGGCATGGCCGGATCAAGTTGTTTTTTGGGGGGGGCTGTACGAGACCCATAGCTTAAATATTCCCCAGCCCTACTTTTTAAATATTTGTCCAGTCCATATCTTGACGTTTTCCACCCACAAATAAAATAGTCTTCTTTCTTTAACAACTATGCTCCTATCCGGCTCAACGGCCTTGGGTTCGAATTTGCACTGAGCCAGATTTTCCCTCTCAGAAATGACCTTAGCTTCCAGGTCAACCTAGCTAGAAGGAGTACCAGGTAAAGCCTTTGCTGACTACCTACCTACATATTGCCGACTACCTACATATTGCCGCTTGGTCTGTAAAAAATGACTCCAATATTATATGCCTGATGTACAACTGGCCTTACCTTTTACTTTAACATATGGGTCCCCAACCTGGATGGGGGGGGGGGGGGGGTGTGTGTGTGTGTGTGTGAGGAATTATTAAGGAGGGTGTCAAACAATTTTGAAACATGAGTTTATTTGTACTTAAAATAAACCTGCTTTTACAGCTTTAACAATCATGACAAACACAACACTGCTGCCAGCTTGACGTGGAGAGTGATCTCCATTGTGCCTTCTCCAACATCTGACCAAAAATAAACAGATATCATCAAGACAGAATAGTGTCAACCAATTGAGACACTAAGTTACCTGTTGTTGGTGACTGTTTCTTTTGTTATTTCACACTTTGAATTATGTTTATGTTTTTCTCCAATTTCTTGTTAACAGTACTTGGGGTTTTGTCTTTTTTTTTCCTCCTCTGACAAAAGTTGGAGACCACTGCTGTAACAACTCTTTTACATGCTGACTGTTTCAGGGCTACAACAGAGTACCAAAGTTGGTTTCATGCCATCGAATTTGTGTCATCAGGGGGGATAACTACTGTGGCTTGCGCAGCGTCCTCTTCCAGGTGCTGGTCAATGGGTTGAGAGTCAACCAAGGCTGGTCGGGCATTATCCGCATCATGGACAGTCTTCATGATCTCTACAGCGACCCGGATGTTGGTCTCTCAGAGTGGACGTTTGCTAACAGGCTGCCTAGTCACAGTAAGGACAAACTGACCTCACTGTCCAAGTGTGCCCTCTCACTCTATGCAACAGTAAGTAAACCCTGTGTTTGACCAGCCACTTGTATTTTAACTTGTTGGATCTCATACACTCTTCTCTTTTCATTCCAAAAAAAAACAGATCTTCTGCCTTACTGTTTTCATTTTTTCATTTTTACTACAGAAATGTGCCTACTCTATGACCATTTGTGTTCTCTGTATATTGCTATATGTGCAGTAGTAGTTTGGTTGTTTGTGACTGAATTAATTAAAAACCCAGCATGCTTTTTCCTAGTCAACTGTTGTTTTAACAGTAGGATTTCACTGTCTAGCACTGCTGCCTGTGTGGGTTCTGGGACCCTGTTGTGGGGGTGGGGTAGGAGAACAAGAGCAGACCCACTGCAAGTATGTCTTTAGAGTCTACTAATTGGAGATCCCTCAAAGTCAGAGGGCCTCTGCCTGAGAAGCCAGTAACCAGCAGTCTGCATACACGTAAGTCAATCTGTAAAATGGATGTGCACGTAACATTCATGTTTCGCAACAAGATTGAAGACCAGAGGTGGTGGACAAACAACCAGAACTTTCCACCAGAGTTTACAGCTGGTGAATGCACAGAAAAAGAGACTGCTTCTGCATTTGATCTCCCAATGTAGCACAGGTCCTTGACCAACTCTTGCTAAGGCAGGTAGATTTGTTCATTCTTTGTGCATCTCTACTTCCTTCTCAGGAGTCGACGTGGCCTAGCAGCTAGACGCTCACGTGCGGATCCGAAGGTCGTAGGCTTGCTTCCTGGCGGAGCCTGACTTTTAAAAAAAAAATGACCTTGACTCCCAGGTCGACCTAGCCGTAAGTGGGTACGAGATGCAGTAGCGGGAAGAAAAAGCAGCTGGCGTGATGCTGACCACATCAACTATTTGTGCCGATAAAAATATAGGTCTAGCCCAAATGCCCTAAACGCCTAAAGGCGGGGAAAGGGACCTTTACTTTTAGTCGGCATCTATGTCTTAAGCGCTTCAAATGCACTACATAAATCTGAGGTACCCGGTTGAATCCAAGCTGCAAGTAATTTGGCAGCAGACCACCTTATATCTGTATTAACAGTGGTATCGAGAGCCAACCGCTCAGCAAGCAGTGGCAAACTACTGAGCGTAAAATTGCTGAACCAACTATAGACAGCCAAAAATGTTAAGGGTTGGTTCTGCAACATCCTGTAAGCTAACACAGCTACCTGGTTTTGACCTCCTTCCCGCCCTCCTCTCCACTAAGAACTTTTTGGTATTCATGTGCCTAATGTTTCTCTGTTTATTTTTTAATTTGTATTAGATTGAAGAAGTGTGCAATCTTCCTTCAAGAGAAGAAAGAGAGCACCGCACCATTGGCCTCTTTAACACCAACACCACGTTTGATGTGGAGCTCATGGAGGGGCTCAAAATTATGATGCTGCTGACCTTGAAGGATCTGAAGAGCCAGGTGGAAGATGGCGAAGATGTCCCACTGTTTGGTCACCTGCTGTTTGCACGGGACACCTCAGAATCTGTGTCTGCTTTCTTGAAGAACCACCTCAACAGTGTCGGTGATACAGGAGGTTTGGAACAGGTGAGTTGTTTCTTCCCCTCATGAGTTTTTCTATATGGTGAAAATGTAACAGTTAGAGGTCCATCTTTATGTTTCCAAAGCTATAAAGGTGGCCCATAAGTGTCCATACATAGGAAAAGTCGGACATCTCATTACACGCCTAACTTCAGCTGTGGTTATATATGTGCTCTTAACCAGTGGAGGTTTTAAAGTGTGTTGTCAAAACAGTGGTGGTCACATAGAGCATATTATGTAAATAAAAATGATATTTATTGTTTTGAAACATTTACATAGTTACTTAGTTGCTCCTCTTCTACCTTGGTGTGTAGACGTTTGCCAGACTGATTGTCAGACCTCTATATGCAGTTCTCTTTTTGGTTTTGTTCGATTCCAGGCCTCTATCAGTTAGGGACTGTCCGATGTTGTCTTCCCAGTGGACCCTGGATCGTCTTGGTGGTCTTGTTTCACTGGTTCTTAGCCTCCCTGTGGTGGCCGATTTTCTCCCATTCTGTATAAATGTCCAAGCCATCAAAACTGTGACTGATCCACTCAAGTTTGTGAGGCCTGGGTTTCAAGATCTTGACTATTTTGTCCCTTCTTGTCACTTGGACCACCTTTCTCAGATATCTCATTTGTGAGGTCTGAAGCTGGCTTCTGAAAAACTTGTCATTGCTCATGACATGCACCTATAGATCAGGGCTGACATAGGTGAAGTCAAAGTGAGGTAAAGGAACGTTTCCACGCCTTCTGTCATATTCAGCATTCAGAGCTAGACCTATATTTTATAGACCACTCGGCACTCGGTGAGTGATGTGGTCAGCATCACGCCAGCCATCTTTACATCCCATGAGTGCACCTGGTACCCACTCAAGCTGGGTCGATCCATAACGCCACGTTTCGTTTGGTCACCAGTTGCTGTTGGCCGTCTGATCAGTTCCATCCACCTCTTTAGGTCGCATGTAATGGACTTGATGTCTGAAGCCTGTCCATTCAGCCAAATTCTATATCCAGCTCTTTTCTGGTCTGCTCTCCACCTCTTCCCCTCTTTAGAGCCCTGGAGTATTGTTTTTTAGAGGCCGATAGATCTTGTTACATTTGCAATTAAGAAAAGACCGGTTGAAAAAAGGAAAGTCATGGATGACACTAGCTGAAAATACCATTGAGACGGCTGCCTCAGTCAAGCAAATACACGAGCACCCACAAGAGCAGTTTCCATCAGGTCATTATCATGTTAGGAAGAGAATGTAGAGAATGGTGTAACGGTATGGCAGAATTAGAGGTACAACAACTGATAGATGGAAAGGCCGGACTAGAGGATGCAGTAGTGTACACCAATGGTTCTGTTTATCAGGATGTAAGATCTTGCTAGGGGTTTTCAGCTAGAATGAAGGGAAAAATTGTAACAGAACAAAACAGAGCTTTTTTTATCTACAACTTCAAGCATGATAATGGAAGTGGAGGCACTCGCTGCAGCTCTGAAGTGGATAGCAGAAAACAAAGTTACCAGAGGAATTATTGTGTCTGATTCTCAGTCGGCATTGCGGAAAGTTCAAAATAGACTAATGTGGCATGAGTAGACACCATGCATCAGTACGCCAACGTTGCAGAGAATCACGTATATATACTGTACGGGATATGCAGGAGTGCGAGGGAATGAGTGGATTTTCTGGCTTCGAAAGCTACTGGAACACTCGTATTGGACAAGGGAGATATTATAAAGACCATATATGAAGGACTTTTGGCAGAAGACACGAAATTAGAGGAAATAACATGGGCAAGAATGTGTGAACGAGGAATTCAGTGTGGATCCGGCAAGAAGGTACGGATGAAAGGAAGAGATTGGTGTGTGTATAATCAGTGTGCTACGGAAGCAGTAAGCATCTACACCTCACATCATTTGCTGCGGAAGACAGAGCATCTATGAGTATGGCCGGTGTGCTATGATGTCAATTCTTAAATCAGTAAATCAGTATATCAAGCATTTTGTATTTTTCCACTGATGTTTAAAGAGGTTCATAAAGAAGATAAGTATTTTTGTGTGTTGGGGGGGGGGGGGGGGGGGAACAAAGCTGAATCAAATGTTTACAGAGATTGGGGAAAACAACTGGAAAGACTCACATTCCATGTACCAAAAGATAAATATGTTAACAGGAAAGATGACACGTAACAGCACTGGATGTTTGAAATCAAAAGATGGTGACTTATTAATGGGACATAGTAATATAATTAACAGATGGACAGAGTATATAGTATATATGATGATAATAGACCAGATGTAGAACTGCAGACCAACAATGATGGTCCACCAATAATGACTGCAGAAGTTGAGGATGCAATACATCATATGAAGAAAGGAAAAGCACCCGGGCCAGACAACGTCTCACTGGAAGAAATCGAAGCACTGGGAGATTTTGGAATTGAAATAATAACTAAACTTTTAAATGATATTTATAATAGTGGGTATATTCCAAATGACCTTTTAAAATACATATTTATAGCTCTGCCTAAGAAACCAGGCACTATAAAATGTGAAGACCCTCGCACAATAAGTCTTATGAGTCACATGACTAAGATTTTACTGGGAATAATTATGAGAAGAATAAGAAACAAAATTAAACCAGAAATCAGCGATGAACAATGTGGTTTTGTAGAAGGAAAAGGTACAAACAATGCCATATACATCCTAAGGACATTGTCAAAAAGAGCTATAGAAGTAAAGACTGATTTGTACATATGCTTCATAGACTATGCAAAAGCATTTGACTGTGTGAAGCATGAAGAAGTAATCAAACTGTTAGAAAAATTAAACATTGATGGGAAAGATCTACGAATAATAAAGAATATGTATTGGCAGCAAACAGCAGCTATAAGAATTAACAACTGTTTAGGTACATTTCAAAGCATAAAGAGGGGCGTACGACAAGGATGTGTACTGTCACCTGATTTGTTTTCAATATACAGTGAATATATAATGAGAGCTTTAATTTATATGCCAGGAATTGTGGTTGGTGGGCACAATATAAACAATTTACGTTATGCTGATGACACAGTCTTGATAGCAACAAGTCAGAAAGAACTACAGGAAATGATAGACATTGTGGTGTTAGAAAGTGGAAGAATGGGCCTCAGTTTGAATAATAGGAAGACAGAAGTAATGGTGGTATCAAAGAAACGATTTATTCCTAAGTGTGTAATAAAAGTTGATGGTGTTATTTTAGGACAAGTACAGAAATTTAAGTATCTGGGCACATAGATAACATCAGATGGAAGATGCATAACTGAGATAAGAAACAGGCAAAAACTGCATTTATAAAATGAAAAACATCTTGTGCAATATATCCTTGTCATTGAGAGTTAGAAAAAGAATTCTTGCTTGCTACATACATCCAGTTTTAACATATGGCTGTGAATCCTGGACAATCTGTAGGCAGGTTAAACAATTTCTGGAGGCCTCGGAAATGTGGTTTTACAGAAGAATGCTTAGAATACCTTGGACAGCCAAAAAGAGCAACCAAGAGGTTTTGAAAGAGGCGGGAGCCCGAAGACAACTTATCACAGACATCGGAAGGAGACAGTAATCATTTTTCGGCCATGTTATGAGAAGAGGGAAAATAGAACATGTTGTGACCACTGGAAAGATATGTGGAAGGAGAGATAGAGGAAGACAACGAGAGAAGATGCTTGACAGTCATGTTGCATGGCACACGAACTGATACATGCTGCAGGAGATCGCAGATTATGGAGAGGCATGATCGCCCACGCCAGTCGGCAAGGCACCTGATGATGATGATGATGATGTGGGGGGGGGGGGGGGGGGTCCCAATATAACTGGTTATCTTTGTCATGTTTGTTCTTGACTTTGTATAACAGCTTCTGAAGACTTGCATTTAATGTAAATAAATCAAGTTTTATCTGATGACTTTGACCAGGTGGAGATGTGTTTGCTGGGCTACACCCTGGGTGTCAGGATCCGTGTGCTGCGCTTGGCCCAGTCTGGACATGAGGACTTTCAGTCTGTGTTCCCTGATGACGTCTCTGCTGACTGGCCGTACGTGGACTTGCTCGTAGAGGATGACCGGCATTATAATGTTCCGCTGCCCTGACCCCTAACCTCATAGCCTCAGTGTTTCTGTATTGTTTTTTTTTATTACTTCAGGTGGATTATAGTTGTATAGTAGTGAAGCCTTAGAGATGTGGTTCTCCACAGGAATGTTTACAGTTCCTTGGAGAAGAGGTGAAGGTCCGAAAACAGCTCAGCATAAATGTAAGAAAGAGATAGTCATTATCTTTTGACCATGTTGTACTTTGTAAGCAAACTACTGAATGAAAAACCACAACAGAACCAATTTGCTGGGATTGATCCGCAACAGCTAACTATACTTTGATGGTAAATAAATTGAAGTAGTGAAAACTTCTATAAGGATTCAAGGAATGTGGAATGCGTTAAATAAATCATACACACTGTGTTGATAGTTTAGAGTTACTGTAAGTTTAAACTGACTGAAGACAATCGATTAAATCATAATTTCAAGACATCGAGTTAGCTTATTGCTAAAACTTGTCATAAATTTGTTGGCCAAAGAAACAGTAGAGTCGGAACCGATTTATGCATTTAAGGATGACAGAAATGCTAGAATATGTTTAATGGAAGTAGTATAATTTTTGAGATGTGTGGACTTATGAATGGGTGGAAGAACAGTTATTGGAAAGTGAAACAAGTAGATACACCTGTGTGTGTTTCCAATTTTATTTGTCTGTAAAGTAAACAGAAGAATGCTTAAAATCCTTGGACAGCCAAAATTAATAAAAACACATTATTCGTTGGCTATGACTCACAAGGATTATCCCATGACATATTATGCGTTGTATGGGACTGAACGAGTTAAGGAGTCCAAGTCTGTCAGTGAAAAAATAATCTTTCACTATCATCTTGTGTATTTCAAATTTAGCCTCATTATTTTTTTTAATTATTTGAACAGGGTAATAGGAAACTTTGTATGTGAATTGTTTGGTTTTTGGTAGAGTTGCTTCATTTGGCGGAGAATTCTATTGGAGTGGCTTGAATTTGGCTGGAAACTTGACTCATTATGGGCTTACGTTATATCAATTCGTAGTCAAGAAATCTTTAAACTAAATATATTAGGTCTGGTGGATAATCGAAAAGATACAGATTTGTTTAAAAGTGTTCATGTAAACCTTTAACTATTTGTTTTGCAATGACAAATTTTAGATTAAACTGTAATTATTTGATTGTGTGTTGAATTGAGTAGGTAAACTTTAATTTATCTGAGAGAATAGTAGGTAGGGTAAATGTTTAGTTGGGCTGGTAACACTTGAATTATTTGGCTCGGTAGAGAATTGAATATGCAGTTCCATTGATTTGTAATTCTGAGATACCCAGTTTGATTCTAGCCGCAGGCAGGCCTCTTTGCTTTGATTTCAACAGTTTTATTAGGTTGTAACCGTTCAGATAGCAGTGGCAAACTGCTAAATGCAAATTGCCTGGTAGAATCACTGACAGCCAAAACAAAAGCTGGGGTTGGTTCCTCAACATCCTATAAAGGATATGCAACTTTGATGTATCAGCAGTCATTTTAAAGTTTGCTTGAACACAGACCGGTACAGTTGAAAAAAAATTCTTAATTTGTCATGTGCATTTGGGAAACCAAATTATGTGTGTTTATTTGTACATGCTGTTACTGCTGTTATTTGTATTCGGTATGTTTGGCAACGACTGAGTTCAAAGGTATATGTGGTATATAGCAAGCTTATGTTGTTTATGTCAGTAGCTGTTTTAGAACCGTTGGTTTTTTTTTAAATTTTTTTTTTAGTGTTTTAAACTGTGTATTGTAACTAATGGTCTAGTTGAGGTATATTATTTGTATAATGACACCGGAATATCTTCTTCATTTGTTTTTATAACTGGACTATTCCATCATATCTGTCCCTTATTTCCTCTGAAGTGTATGTAGGTGATAGTTGTTGCTGTGTACCCCAGGAGAAAGTCTTGCCGTGCCAGAATGATCTGTGTCCATGGGCTGTATGTTAATGTACTGCACATAGGACAACAAGAGTTTCAGATCTGCACTTGTTGTTAAGCACTAACAGAACCACAACACATAGCTACAGTACAGAGGCTGGTTTTCTGACTGTTTGGATAGTGAAACCTTTTTGATGGAGGTTGAATTTTGTTGATTTAATTTGGATAAAGTTCAACACAGTAGGGCCTCGCCTCTATACAAAGGGTGCTGCATACAGTAAAATATGTCACACTAGGACCTCACCTTTATACAAAGGGTGCTGCATACAGTAAAATACGTCACATTAGGGCCTCACCTTTATACAAAGGGTGCTGCATACATTAAAATATGTCACATTAGGGCCTCGCCTTTATACAAAGGTTGCTGTAACAGTAAAATAAGTCACATTAGGGCCTCGCCCTTAAGAATAGGTTGCTGCATACAGTAAAGTACATCACATTAGAGCCTCACCTTTATACATCGGTTGTTGCATACAGTAAAGTACGTCATATTAGGGCCTCACCTTTATACATCGGTTGTTGCATACAGTAAAGTACGTCACATTAGGGCCTCACCTTTATACATCGGTTGTTGCATACAGTAAAGTACGTCATATTAGGGCCTCACCTTTATACATCGGTTGTTGCATACAGTAAAATCTATCACAGTAGGGCCACACCCTTATTCATGGGTTATTTTAAACCTTTTTGATGGAGGTTGAACTTTGTTGATTTAATTTGGATAAAGTTCAACACAGTAGGGCCTGGCCTCTATACAAATGGTGCTGCATACAGTAAAATACGTCACATTAGGACCTCACCTTTATACAAAGGTTGCTGCATACAGTAAAATACGTCACATTAAGACCTCACCTTTATACAAAGGTTGCTGCATACAGTAAAATACGTCACACTAGGACCTCACCTTTATACAAACGTTGCTGCATACAGTAAAATACGTCACATTAGGGCCTCACCTTTATACAAAGGGTGCTGCATACAGTAAAATATGTCACATTAGGACCTCACCTTTATACAAAGGTTGCTGTAACAGTAAAATAAGTCACATTAGGGCTTTGCCTTTAAGAATAGGTTGCTGCATACAGTAAAGTACATCACATTAGAGCCTTACCTTTATACATCGGTTGTTGCATACAGTAAAGTACATCACATTAGGGCCTCACCTTTATACATCGGTTGTTGCATACAGTAAAGTACATCACATTAGGGCCTCACCTTTATACATCGGTTGTTGCATACAGTAAAGTACGTCACATTAGGGCCTCACCTTTATACATCGGTTGTTGCATACAGTAAAATCTATCACAGTAGGGCCACACCTTTATACATCGGTTGTTGCATACAGTAAAGTACATCACATTAGGGCCACACCTTTATACATCGGTTGTTGCATACAGTAAAATCTATCACAGTAGGGCCACACCTTTATACATCGGTTGTTGCATACAGTAAAGTACATCACATTAGGGCCACACCTTTATACATCGGTTGTTGCATACAGTAAAATCTATCACAGTAGGGCCACACCTTTATACATCGGTTGTTGCATACAGTAAAATCTATCACAGTAGGGCCACACCTTTATACATCGGTTGTTGCATACAGTAAAATCTATCACAGTAGGGCCACACCTTTATACATCGGTTGTTGCATACAGTAAAATCTATCACAGTAGGGCCACACCCTTATTCATGGGTTATTTTAGAGCCTTTTTTAATTCTCTAGTTGCAAAGTGCCTAAAATAGGACACTTATAGCTTGCTTTTGTCATTAATCGTGCCTCACTTGAGATCCTTTGACAAGATCATTGGTATATTGTACAGAGATCTCATTACAAATGAGGAAGTCTGGAGACCTGTCAGTCACTGTTCTGAACAAGCATCGTTAAATTCCATTATTTCCCTGCGCGCATTTATTGTGTTCAGTAGGCCGCCATATGACCACAGTAGCTAAATATTGCATTCGGGGGTTTCTTTATGACCCCAGTGGTTTTTTTAAAAGCCAGATCGGTGTCAAAGGTTCCGTAAACCTCAGTGATGCAGGTCATTGGATCATGGCATATGTCACCCTATATATTTTGTGGGGCTCCAGAAATTGTATTCCATTAAATGCTTCATTGTGTTCATGTTTATGGGTTATCTCTTTACATATCTTCGTATATTTCAGGAAACAAAATTTACAATTATAAATAGGTTTTTAAAAAAAAAAATGTAAATTTATTAGTGATCTGTGTAATCATGTATTTTTTTTTCAACAGGATTTTTCAGTTTATTCTTACAGGTTTATGACCCATTTTTTTTTAAGCATAATTTGGACGAAAGGGTTACACAAAACAATCATTAAGATGCCATACAAATACATATAGTTGCATATGTACGCATATTTCCATAATACAAAAATAACCAACACGTAAACAAAAGCTAGAATAACAGGTACCAGTGAGGTCCTACAACGTTTGTGAACTCTCATGGTAATCTGAAATTTTTGTCAGTTATTGTGGCAATTTTTGTTTTTCTGCTGTAAATCTTGCAAATGTATAACATGCTGATATTCAAATCATGACACGAAGAGAAAGTCATGAAATTTCCAGTTGTAAATTATGCTGACCCATTACATGTTGCACCACATGTGTTCAAGTACTTCTAGAGTGACGTTTTCAAGCCCTGTTACTAACCTTGATATTTTGACTTTTCGACTGTTATCAAGGTTAGAATTTATGACCAGCTATGTCGAGGATAATGCCAGGAGATGGTAGAGCAGAGAAGATTCTCCACTTAATTGTGTGTTCATATTCAATTAAATATAGTTAATTACATGTTGCTGTGTGTTTCCTGCAGGCTGCATTAGTTTATGTACATTTGCTGGTAGAGAAAAAGTTAATGTACATTTGCTTGTAGAGAAAGAGCTAATGTACATTTGCTTGTAGAGGAAGAAGTGGAAATATTCTCTTTATAAGTGTACTATGAAGTGGAATATACCTTTTTAATTATGTATGTGCTAGGAAGAGAGTAAAATATACTATATATGTAGCAGGATGAACAGGATTAATGAAACATCATATTAA